GGCTGGGTGGTTAAAAATAGCTGCCTCTCCCACAACTCCACAGCTTCCTTTGAGCGTCACCTTCTCAAGCTGGCTGGGCAGGGCTCATTAGACAGGGAAGGAAACTGAGGTTTGAGGAGGCCAAGTGCCTCACCCTGGATGCCTAGATCTGGAGTGGCACCATTGAGACTCCAGCTTTGTCTTGTAAAGTCTTTCTAGTGAGATGCTTTGAGGAAGGGCATCCTTGGGAGCTGAAAGAGGGAGCCAGCCTGCAGCACCCTGGCCTGTCTGGCCGCTTGCTGCATTTTCCTCTTGACCACTGGCAGACTCAGAGGTGTTAAACTCGACTGGGTAGTTTAAATCTTCATTGCATCTTTAGCATTGCTTTCTGTTTATGACAACTGATGCTGTATTTTATTCATGGTAGTGGCATAAATGTTTCCTTTAAAACTTGAATTTTTGGGGGCTGGGGATTTAGCTCAGCGGCATAAGCGCCTGCCTTGCAAGCATGCAGTCGTGAGTTCGATCCCCGGTACCGATAAAAAGGAAAAAGACAAAAAAAAAAAAAAAAAAAAAAAACTTGAATTTTTTTTTAAAAAAAAGATGCATTGATTTTAAAGTGTAGATTGAGCATTCCAAATCTGAAAATCCACAATGCTCCAAAATCCAAAAGTTTTGAGTGCTGACCTGATGGCCTCAATAGAAAATCCCACTCCTGGCCTCGTGGATCAACTCACAGTCAAACTACAGGTGCACTAAAAATACTGTGTTCTGTGCACAAGGTATATATGAAACATGAATTCTGGGTTTAGCCTTGGAGTCCATCCCCATTACGCAGATCAAATATTCCCAGGTCCAGAATCTGAAACACTTGTAGTTCAAACACTTCAGATAGGGGATATGTAATCTGTACTGCCAATTTAATAATAGTTCAGGTGTTTCTCAGATATGACAAGACTTGAGTATGATACAAGTGTGGCCTTTCTGAAAGGTTCCCAGAGTGTGGGGTAGTGTCCAGCTGGGAGCATACTGTACACCACAGATCTTCACGTGATCTATGACTGATGAGCTTCAACAGTCAATCAGAGTCCCCAGACAGTAGCTCTGGTTCTTCCATGATACTGGCTCCTCTCAGGGACTCTGGCCTCTCTTGCTGTGGCCTTGGGGCAGCCAGGGCAACAGCCAGACTCTAGCCATGCCCCCAGCAGTGAGCCTGCTGAGTCCACCCTGCTGCACAGCCTGCCTGTGGAGAAAGAGGGATGAGCAACTGGATTTTGCAAGGCAAAGTCTGAACCATGGAAGCTCTCTCTGCTGCTGTTAGGTTCTAGTTGGGAACAAAGATGGGGAAAATGAGGGAACAGGCCACCACGTGCAGATGCCTTGTGCGTGTTAGGTACTGCCACACATCCCCATGGGGTGGACATTGTCCCCTTAGCAGATGAGGCAATGGGCCCAGGGAGGTTGAGTGACTTACCTGAGGTCACACAGGCTGATTCCAGCTCTTATACTGACCAGCCCAGAGGAGTAGGACATGGGGCAGCAAACTGCAGAAAAGAAGCACCATTGAAGCTGTCCAGGGCACCTCCCCACCAGTACTCTCAACAAGAACCCTTCTCCCACTTAATCCCAATCCCTTATGAGGCAGCTTCTCCTTAGAAGCCTTGAGGAAGTACACTGCTTCTTAGAATAGATGCAGTACCCAACTGTCTTTCTCACAACAAAAATGAGCCTCCCCACCTCTGCCTCTGTCCAGCCCTGGGTGGTGACCTGGAATGGCTTGTAATGAAAGGTTATGGCTTCAGAAAGAAGAAAACCAAACAACTAGTGGCTAACAAATTGTCATGTTCTACTGATGTTGGAAAACCTGCTGCCCTGGATTCCATAAGTTGCAACTGCGGAATGTTTTCAGTCTGAGGCTCTTGATGCCTGGAGGAAAGGGTTTGGGCTCAGATGATGAGATTCCAGTTCTGGCTCCATCACTTACAAACTGTGTAGCCCTGTACCACCGGAGTGCAGGGGTACGGGGTCTGTTCAGCCCTGCCTACCGGGGTAGTTCTGAGGAATAGATGAGATGACACGCGCTAAAGCAGCAGGTATGAGGTGAACGTAAAGAAGGAAGTGCTTGGGAAATGTCAGCTGTTGTGACGTTTGTCACTGGAGGCCCGCCACAACCATACTTGCAAGTCAGAGGAACAAGGGTTTGGTGTATAACAGCCAAAGTGGGTGACACGGATGAAAGTGGAACTGTATCCAGGACATCCTCCAGCTGCACATACCGAAACCTGGGATCACATCTCTGCTCTCACCTTGTGGGGGCTTCAGACAGCTCACTGCCCTTGCCAGGCCATTCTCAGCTGAGTAAAACCAATTCAAGATAGGTCTCCCACGCCTACGTGACTCATGTGTACTGCTGCATCTGCCAACTTCCTTAACTATTCTTTACATAGTTGTTTTCTTTAAACCAGCTCTTTTTAAAGTGAAATAAATGTTTTGATCATTTGCTAAAAATAGAAGGTGATCCCAAAGATACATGCAAGGAAGAGAGGAGAGCACTAGTCATTTGCAGCAGAGCTCGAGCAAGACCCACCACGCACGCAGAGGTGGGCTCATGCCTGGGTGCTCCAGCCAGCCCTGTACCTGTGAGAACCGTATGGGATGCCGCCCATAGTCATGAGGTGACAAGTGAGGACTCCCTGGTGGTCAGTGCCTCCAGCACCGTCTACACAAGCCTGAGATGGGCCCATCTATCATCCCAGGTCCTTGGGGATTGCCATTGACCACCAGTGAGAACAAACCTGAATAAAGAATTCTGCAGGTTTCTGGTCACTATGGGTCTCAGCACCATCCCTGTCGCCCACACTCCCCCACCAGAGGTTCCTTGAAGGGAGGTCAGCAGTAGGTGAACTCTGGGGGCAATGAGAGAGGAACCCCAGAATTCTCTGGCTGTAGCCCCCGTTTCCTGTCCATCAGCATTTTCCTTGGGGTCAGTGGGAGCCAAGGAAGGTTTTGCAGCAGCAGCAGGATGTGTTCCCAGTTGGCATTTGGCACATGAGTCTGGCATAAGACCTAAAAACTTGGCTGATTGGTCCTCTGCCTCCTACCTACCCCACTCCCACCGTGTACCAAACCACTAGAGGCTGGTGGCCCTGCCTGCCCTCTCCTCCCCTCTCCCTGGATGCCCTTCAGGTACAACTGATACCTGAGACCAACTCCTTCCCATTGGTGGGTATATTGTCTCAGTTTGAAATTCCTTGCTGGGTAGATTGTGTCTCAAAGGCACGGGCCACCTGCCCAGTGTTTCTTCATCAGATGCCCACAGCCAGGTCTAACATGTACTGTTTAAAATCTCCAATGGGGCCAGGGGATGTAACTCAGTGGCACTTGTCTAGCATGTGTACAGCCCTGCATTTGGATCCCTGGCAACACCCACACACACAATTAAAAATTAAATCTGAAATGATATATAGCTATGAGAGAAAGCCAGACTCTGGGACAGTGGTGGCAAACCTTTTACAGATAAGTGCCCAAACTACATCCCAAATCCACTCATTTACCACAAAATGCCACCACTGCAGTTAAAACTGAACACTGAGGTTTTAGTTTAGAAAAAACAACCCTTACATTGATATCTTTTATCTTAAACGGAAAAACAACACCTGTGTCATAGGTTTGCCACCACTGAGTCTAGCACATCCGAGGTGAGCATCTTTTGATGGAGCCTTAGTTTCTTCACCTATCAAATGGAGTCTCGCTCCCAGGTTGTTAGGGTCACATGAGACCAGCTGTAGAGCCCTCCCTCTCAGGCTTGCTGACCTCCCAGCTGACCACGTGGTGAGGATTCGGGTGCAACTTATTTATTTGGGAGTTGAGGCAGGGAAAGAAAGGATCCCAGTAAGTTGTGTCATCAAGCAGGTTGCCTCTGTGGCCTTGAGCTCAGAGTGAATGCAAAATATGCTCTAGAGTTAGCCAGCCACCGCAGAGGGGAATGGGGTACTGGTACACTGCCCTGCTGGCTGGCCGTAGTGGAGGGCAGTTGCAGGGTGCAGGGACACATTAACTCGGTAGAAGCCCATGGAACATACAGATTCTGGCGGCCAAAAGAGATCTTGGCTCCACAGGCAACAGTAGTTGGAAGCTGCCCACCCAGTGCCCTGGGAAGGGGTAAGAGAGCTGCACACACTGTTGTAGTCAGTGGAACACAGCAAGTGCTCAGGGAGTGGGCACTGTCTTGATTGTGATCATTTCTATTTGTGTTACTAGCCCAGCACCAGCTGTGTGTCACAGGCAGCTGTCACTAGACTTCCCAGCCTGTTTTTTAACCCTATAAAACAGGGAGACATGCATTTCTCAGTGGAAACAGTTCCGCCCTCTTAGGCGGCCCTCAGAAATGTGACCAGAGACATTTTTAGCCATCACAGTGACTGGAGGTGCTGCTGGTACCTAGCAGTCAGGGGCCAGGGATGCTGCTAAGCATGCCATGCCTAGAACAGCTTCTACATACATGCACTGTCCTGCCCTGATATCAGTAGTAGTTCCTGTTGAACAAGAGTGAACACTGCGTGTTGGACATGATATTTTAATAGTTGCCTGATACTCAATGAAGCTTGTAGAAGGAAGAGTCTGAGCTGGCAAAAAGATGAGGCTCAGAACTGGGAAGGGCTTGGGTGGGGGCTGTCAGAAGGGTGGCCCTGGGGATACAAGGCGCTGCTATGATGCTGGAACCCACTGGACAGTGGAGGGAATAGGAAGAGAGAATCTGCCATGGAGTTTGGGCATGGGGAGTATGCTGTATGGGCTCTGGGAGGGACAGTCAGGTGCAGCTGCTGAGTGGCCCTGGCGCAGGAGCATTTCCTGCAGGCTGCAAAGCACTTCCCCATTAAGGTGGGAGGAGCTGGCAGTCCCATGCACTCCTCAGAGCTTGCTGAGCGGAGCCTGCCTGGATACTGTCCCTTTCCCCACTAGCCAGGACAGTGCTTTTTTTTTTTGTATGAAATTGCACTCTTTCTCCAACCCACAGTCTCTAACATTAAATTAATTTATTAAAAAGCATTGGTAATAAAAATAGAAAAACATCCCATCCCGACCAAGTCCAGGATTTCTGGGGGGTCTTGGGATTGAAGAGAGGAAGAAGACTGCCCTGTTCACCCTGAGTCTCCGGAGGCCTGGGCTGCTGTCTGAGTTTGCGAGGCTGGTAGCAGGGTGGGTCTCCTTACTGATAACATCCTTCTTCTTGTTAGGCTTGCTCCCCTCCAAAGCTTCGTGCCAACAGAGAGGTCCCCGTCTGAACCCGGGAGAGCGGAAAGAGAGATTGGGACTGAGTGCCCAGGCTGAGAAAGCCCCGGTCCCCACACAGGAGGGAAGACTTCTCCAGTCGCTCAGAAGGCCTGACCCTGGTCTGGGTGTGTGACCTCACGCTATCAGGATGGATGTTTATAGGAGCCTGGCCCAAAGCTGCCACCCTGCACTTCACTCCCCATGGCACCTGCTTCCCCGACTTCACCTCTGGAGAAAACACTGCAAAATGAAGCTGTGGCTGCACCTGAAGGCGACACCTAGGTCCTTCCTCTGCCAGTTGAGCCTTAAGCCCAGCTGGGTTCATAGCCCAAGTCTGGTCTCGGTGATTGCTTTGGGGGTGACTCAGAAAAAAAAAAGCAGCTGAAGAAATGTGGAGGCTGAGGGTAGGACTTTGACATAGGCATTTCAAGTTGCTTGCTCTTCATCAGGTTGGCAGGACTGAGACCTCATGCTGGGGGAGTGCTTTGCCACTCCTCTGGCTAGAAATATATTTTTGAAAATGTGAGCAGTGTGAATACTTGATTTCGATAAACCTGTAAAAGCAATACTTAGGCTGACTTATTTCAATTAAAAAATGTATGCAACTCCAGTTTCTCAGGTTTTTTTTTTTCTCCTTTGAGAGTTGGAAAAACTTATGCACTTTGAGGATGATAACATGCAAAAAAAGTCAGAGCCCCCGAGTTTAGAGAGTCAGTGGGTTTGGAGAATGGATACATCTGAGAGTCCCAAGCTGACCCCTCCCAGCTTCCACAAGCCTAGCAAGCCAGAGGCAGCTTGTGGGGTGTGGTAGGAAAGCCTGTTGGCCACTTGAGAAATTGGGCCTGAATCTCAAAGCAGTGTACAGGCTGCCCTGTTAGAGAGCTTGCATTTATTTATTTATTTTAAGATGAGGTCTGTGTAGACTGGTCTTGAACTCACTATGTAGCCCAGGCTGGCCTCAAACTCATGGTGATCCTCCTGCCTCAGCCTTCTAAGTGCTAGGATTACAGGCATGTGCCATGATACTGAGCTGTCAGAGAGCTTTTAAAATTTGCTAAAATGCAAGTCTTCAGAGCCAAAAACCTGAACATGTTACTCATTTGGTATGTTGTGGAATGAATAAAGCAAAGTTGGCTGGGGATGACCCATCTGTTCTACATTTATTAAGCACCTACTGTACCAAGGCACCTTGTTGGGTGCAGAGGCCAGCAGTGAACAAAGTAGTCAGGTTCCCCGCCCTCTTGGAATTCACAGCCTAGGAAAAGAGCAGACAACAAATTGCAATGTGGTTAGAGAGTGGGCAGCCAGGGAGAGCAGCGTTGGTGGTCAGTGTCCTCAAACAGTCTTGAAGCATGAAAAAGCAGCCATATGAAGAGGTGGGAAGAACATTCTGGGCTCAGGTAAGAAAATAATCAGAGATATATAATGGTGACCGTTAATACACACTAAGCTGTGTGCCAGGCGCTCTCAAAGCATTCACTCACAGGATCATTGCACAACCCAGCCCACACAAGGATGCTGAGCACAAAGGAACCTCCCTCACATACATGAGTGATGAGCTGCACTGAAGTCCAATAGTACGAAGGGCTCAGCATGGTGCCTGGTGCATAGTAACCATAATTGGCAACATTTACTGAACATGTACTATGCCCCTTGTACTATCATGAGTGCAACATGAACTGACTTGTAAAATGGTAGCTGCCACTCAAAAATCATTATGAATAAGTAGAGCCTCTGACCTCATTTTAATATCTCCAAATAGGTCAAAAGCAGAGGGTTCGGGGTGCCCACCTGGCTAACAGGTGTAGTAGGTGACTGCATCACAGAATCACTTGTTGTTCACACCTGTGTCCAGACAAATGGGGGTACCATGGTCTCTGCATTACCTGAAAATGCAGGAACCCCTCAGCAGTGATGCCTGAGCTATTTACCACCCAAACCTGGGTGACAGCTTGTGAAGCCCTTTGCCATGGCCAATGGCGAAGGCTCTACCTTTGCAGGGAATGCCTACCAGGCCCCAGGCCGATCCCTTGACTCTCCTGAACACACTTTTCCCACTTCTGGGGAAAGGAACAGAGTTTGGATCCTGTGGGCATTAGGGCTATGAGCTGGAGCTGAATAGCTAACTCCTTGCCACCATCAGCAGGCAGCAAGTTGTGCCCATCAATCCATGGATTGGGCTTCTGACCAGCAGGACAGGCCAAAGTGAAAAACAGCAGCTGTGCTGGTGGCTCTCTGGGTGGAAAGCAGGGTCGTCAAGGCTTTTTCCAGCTCCTGCAGCCATGGCAGGGTTCCAACTTGTCTAATAAGTGGCTCCCAGGACAGAATGGTGTACAGAAGGCTGGAAAGAACATTCCCTTTTATATAGCGTCAGCCTTACCGACTGCCAAAGAATGAGTTTCCACCAAATCTCAGGAAGCCACAAACAAAATCCTTTCAGAAAAGACAGGAGTTAGCCCAGTGTGGATTCTCTATCTTGTGTGTGTGTGTGTGTGTGTGTGTTTGCTGTCTGTTTGCCCAGTGGAAGGAGTAGGAGGAAGTAGCCCCTGTCACACTGGCCAATAGAACATAGCAAAAACAATTTTGTGTGATGTATAAGGCTAGGCTATAAAGAGGTCACCAGCTGTCACTTATGGTCTCTTTCCTCTTCTTCTCTGTCTCTGCCTGATTGTCTGTCTCTGAGTGATCATCCTTCAATCCTACACCATGATATGAGGAAGCTCAAATTCATCTCCATGGAGAAGTCTCCAGCCAGCTGTTCCTAAGAGCCCCTAAGACCTCAGCCAGCAGCCAGTGTCAGGTGCCAGACACATGGGAGGAGGAGCTTTCCAATCAGCTGGCTCAGCCTAGCCTTCAAGTGGCTCCAGAAAATGCTGAGGGGACAGGGGAGCTGTCTCTTCTGAGCCCTGCCCAAATGACAGGAGTGTGAGCTGATGGGGGTTTGTGTTATTTTAAGCCACTGTACTTTGGTGTGGCTCGTTATATATTGAATAACCACAACAGTGGGTCCTCTAAGCAGGAATCATAGTATAAACCCAAACCCCAGCCCTTTTCATGAGACTGAGACATTTAAAATGTAGTGAAGAAAGACAGGGAAGGTGAAGGCCCAGGGTGGGTATGGGGTGGGGTCCCAAGCCGTTTTCCCATCCCTCAGCCTTTAGTGTAACCATTCACTGGTCCTGGCTAAAATCCAGAGTTTGGGCCAGGACCAACTCTAACCTTGACCAAAAGTTAGTGCAAATAGTAAGTAGTATAGACAGATAGCAGCTGCCATAGAATCCCTGTCAGTTGGTGTATCAGCAGACTCGGGATTGTCGATGGGCATCTTCAGAGCACCAATCAGGTTCTGCTAAGCAGTCTGGTTGAGACTCGCATGGAAAAGGGCCTTCTCACTAGGGTGACAGGGCCCAAGCAGGTGGTCACGTGGCAGCCTCAGTCCCTCATGCTGGCTTGGTCGTGGCTGTCCAAGAGTGTTTTCAGGCAACACCTTGGGCCTCCAGGGTGGACCACACTTGTCTTGGCTCTTACCACAGCCAGACAAGGCTGATGTCTACCTGGGTCTGAAGGAGCCTTGGAGCTGGGCAGAACAAGATGTAAGTCCATGCACAGATGGGCAGTGCCATCCCTGAGCCCACAGGGGCCAGGCGCCAGACACTAAGGCTCAGGGAGTACAACTGAGATGAACTCAAGGTACCCAGTTGAAGGTCCAGCATGGTCAGTATCCTCAGAGTGCATTCTGTGGAGATCAAGAGAGGGCGGTAAGCTAGGAGATTTTAGGTGGGGAAGCCTTTACACATCTATGGGAATGGAGCAGGACTAGAAGGGACTACATCACAGCTCAGGGAGGGTCAGATATAAAGGGAACACAGGGATGAGGGGACAGTCCCTTCACTGTGTGAAGCTAGTTGCCAGGAAGATGCATCCAGTGCATGGGGGCAGCACACAGCATGAAATGCTTGGAAGTCCCAAAGGTAGGACTCTCCATCACTCAGGCTCTAACCTGAGTACAGCCAGCCCCACTGCCCTTCCTGAGTCTCTATCCTGTCCACAGAGGATATCCTCAACCCAGGAATCCTCCAGGGGTCCAGCACAGAGACACATGCAAATTCAGAGATGACCACCCATGTCCACCTGATGGTCCTGGCTTATTCACCTGGGTCCCACCTTCCCAAAGACACTGGCTCCAGATGTCCACATGGCCCCAACTCCTGACCTCACCCAGTCACCTTATCCAGGACACAGCAGGGTCATCGCAGGCTGATCCGGGAGTCCAGCTGATGTAGGTGTTCCTGGACACCAAACGGGATGGTGGGTGTCCACATCCTGGGAGGAGGGTATAGGACTCAGAAGCCAGGACTTTGAGATCCCCCAGTGCAAGATGACCCCCCAAATCCCTCCTCCCACTCTGCCTAGAGCACCTGTGACTCCCCAGGTAACCAGTATGGACTGGTATGTGTGGTGGCTGGGGGGCTGCAGGGAAAGTGAGGCCCAAAGAGTTCTGACTCTTCTGATTCTGCTATTGACTTGCTGTTTGAGCTAAAAAAAAGTTAGTTACTAGCTGGGCATGGTGGTGCACACCTATAATCTAAGTGTACCTGTAATCTCCTCTGGAAGACTGAGGCAGGAGGATCACAAATTTGACCCCAGCTTAGGCAACTTAGTAAGATCCTGTCTCAAATTTTTAAAAATTATAAATAGGTAAGAGATATAGCTCAGTATGAAGGCCCTGGGTTCAACTCATAGTGCAGAAAAAAAAAGATTGGTTACTGTCTGTGTCTTGTTCTCCTCATCTGTGAGCTAAAATGGGTCTCATGAGACCTACTCTATCCATCTTGGAAGACATGAGCAATTATATAGATGAAAATACTTTGAAAGAGTATAAAGTATCAATATGGGGCATTAGATATCATGGTGCTGTAATATAAAAATAAGCTCAAGCTATATGAAGTTCCAATTTTATGAGTCAAGAATAGTGAATGTAGACAATTTATGTGGTTCACCCGAAGACTCACTGAGTATTTTGGTGTTCTTGGAGCTTTCTGCAATGTAACTAATTTAAACCTCCCAAACCCTTCTGCTGAGATCTTATGATCATCTCCACTTTACAGATGAAGAAATGGAGGCCAGAAGGATGATATGCCTGCCTGCCCAAAGCCACACACTGGTGTGCAGAGAGCAGGTCTGAGCTCTGCAGACACTAGCTCAGCCCAACACCATCTGCGGAGAGGAGACTTACGCCAGGGTCTCCACACGAGGGCACTTCCGCAGGCTAGCAGCCAGCTGTTGGGCACCCACAGCTGTGAACTTGTTGAACTGGACGCTGGGGAGAGAAACTCATTCTGAGGCCTGGCCCTAGAGACCGTCTATCTCCAAACCAAGGCCTTCCCATGATGCAGTGGGAGACGCACCCCCCCCAACCCCCCCCCCCCCCCCGCTGCCCAGACTCTGCCCACACTCACTCCATCACCCGCAGGGACCCCATCTCAGGAAGCACACGTGCCAGGCTCTCAGCACCCATGTCACAGATGCAGTTGTTGTATAAGCTGCCAGAGACAGAGGTCAAGGAAGAGCTTTGTGGTGCTGGGAAAATGGTCAGAGCCCCCCAGAATCCATATCTAAGTGAGAGTGCTGCCTCACTTTAGAGAGGGGCAAACTGAGGCCCTGAGAGTTGAGACTGCTTCTCTGTGGTCATACAGTGGGTTCAGAGGAGCAGCAAGACTTCTTGCTGAGAGTGTAGAAACTCTCAGGAGAAATGACTTCCTGGCTTCAAATCCCAGCTAGGCCTCCTGCCACCTGTGGAACGCTGGGCAAGCTACTTACACTAACCCTAACCCTGATCATCTGTACAATGGTCACAACTGAGTAACTGTGGGGAAGATCAAGAGTTCATGCCCGTAGGTGGAGTGAACTGTTAACTATGGTTATGACTCTCACAGGACTAACTGTCGCCCACCCTGTGGAGGGTGTGACCAGCATTGGTGGCAGGAAGAGAAAAAGCAGAGTCACTGGCCTGCTCAGTTTGGGGCCATCACACATAGCAGTAGCACAGCAGGTACTGCCGGTGCCAGCTTCCACTATGCTCAGCACCCGGCATGCTTTCCTCAGCAGGCCGGGTGCTGCTGTGGTTCCTGTTTCAACACTTTGCTGTGACTGAGCCACTGAGCTGCACAGCACGGCTGCGAAGGCAACAGGTCTACACCGCTGCAGAGGATTCAGGCCCAACCCCAGCATGCCGGCTACTGTGGGTGGCCAGGTGGCAGGCGGAGCTATGTGGCTTCCCCTGTGGTGGGTTGTGGAACCCAGAAACCCCTTTCTCCTGTCTTCAGGTGGCCAGAGTCCTTGCATTTCTTTGAGGCTGAGATGCCCATGTCTATATTTGAAGATCACTGAGATCAGAGTGTGATTTTTGATCAACAGTGTTGCAGTTTAATCAGCAGTATTTTGTCCTTTTAATGGTGTTTGCATGTGGATGGCACTTTAACCTATGGAATATGATGGGCCTTTTTTTTTCTTTCTTTCCTTTTTTGTGGTAATAGGATAGAACCTAGGACCTTGCACATGCTGGCCAAGTGCTCCATCACTCAGCTATACCCCAGTCTGGTAATTCTTAAGTGCACATCAGATTCGATACTATCTTCACATGCCCCTCCTATTTCTCATTCACCCAGCAAAAACCAGGAATGCCTCTACCTGACCCATGAGCACCGCTTGCCTGATCTGGACTGCAATGGCCTCTCCCACCTCATCTGTCCTTCATGCGCTGTGGCCAAACCACCTTTCTCACTTTAGGGCTTTTGCAGCTGCTGCTCCCTCTTGCTGCAGTGCTTTCCTATAGAAAAGCTCAGTTGCCCTGACCATCCCCAGTGAATTGGCCAGTCATCTCTATTGCACTCTCCTGGGCTGCACTAATTTCTTTCCAGCATAAGTCAATATTTTAAAATACTTTATTTATGTCTGTGCTTACTTGCTAACTGGGTAAGAAATTTGAAGGCAAAAACATCCATCTTGTTCACAGTTTTATCTCCACTTCCTCAGAATCTTTTTTTGTTTGTTTGTTTGTTTGTTTTATCAGTACCGTGGATCTCATGACTGCCTGCTTGCAAGGCAGGTTCTTATGCCGCTGAGCTAAATCCCCAGCCCTATCTCCACTTCCTTATGCTGGTTCTGGCCCATGGTTCATGTTAGAGAATAGCAGAGGCCTGGGACAGCTCTAGGGGTGATCACTGGTCACATAGACTGAGTTGCACAGTGCATAACCTGTGCAGCTGCATCCTGTTGTCCTGGCTAGAAAGACACATGAATGGACACACATCAACAGAGATGGGCCAGATGCCACTTTTCCTGGAATATGACTCGAGCTGTCTTCAGCAAGGGGCAAGAGTTGGGGACGGGGAGGGAAGTTTCTCCCAGGGTGATGAGTTAGGAGAGCTACAGGTGCTGAGCTGAACCTACTACTCTTCTGCTAGTGTCTGGTACACCAGACACTAGGAGAAATTGTCACACCAGACTGGAAGAAATTGTCTGCTATCCTGAGGCCTACCAGGAGGTGGCAGTGTACGCACCGACTGCTACACAAGTGGCGAGTGACATATTTCCAGAAAGAAAGCTTAGCCTTGCCAGGCCAAAGGGCTCAGATGAGGGTGGGATAGGCTGGTGGTGTGGCTATCTACTGCTAGCCAGAGTCAGGTGTTGCACCCAGCGCTTTGCAGAGGCCATCAAAATAGTTTCTATTTGCCAGATGAGAATCCAGCGGCTCAGAACTGTAAGCAATCTGCCCAGATTTCTTTGCCTGGGTCCTGCCCCTCCCATCCTGTTTCCAAGGCCTGAAGTGATTGTTTCCAGAGTCATGGTGTCTGTTGGGCCCTGATGCTGCCTAAAGCTCCCTGGCCTCCCCAGCCCACCTGCTCAGTGCAGAAACCCCACTCACCTGAGTCTGAGAAGGGATGCAGAGAGCAAGGGAAGGGCCTCAGCAAGGGTGCAGGCACCCGTGTCCGTAATGCTATTCTGGGACAGGCTGTGGGGACACCGTGAGAGAGGCTGAGGACCATGGTTTCAGGCCCCTCCCCCACCAGCACCCATCCATCTGCCCCTTGGGAGACCCACAGAGCAGTCTGTGCTGCAAACAGGGACAGTCCACGCCTGCAGTCATGGGTAATGGTGTCATAGGTTAAACATACACCAACTTCTGACAGGTAAGGGAGTCCTGTGATGCTCAGAGTAGGATGATGGAGTGAGCTGTTGGTGAGGTAGGGAGGGAAGGAGGGAAGGAGGAAGAGAGGAGAGAAAGAGCTCCCTTTCCCCACCTATTTATGGTTTCATAACATCCTCTGTTTTCCCTCGGGGCTACTCATCAGCACTGCAGTTAAATGAGTGTCTATGGTATTTGTTTAAACGGGCAGTGGGCTCTGTAGACAGTAGGGCTGTTTCTGTTTTGATCATGATTATATCCTTGTGTCTGTAACACTGAGCACATACTCAACATATACTTAAGGGCAAAAAGGAGAGGGGGAGAGGGAGAGAGAGGGGACTCAGGAAATTTAGCTTATGGTTTTACTTATCGGAGAAATCTCAGTACCTTACAATCAAGGAAATAACTAAGTGAATTCTGCTGAAATATTTGGCCATCTCGCTCTTAATTATGAGGAGGAATGCAGTCAGATTTGATAACCTCTATTCAGAAAAAAGAGAAAGGAAGGAAGGAAGGGTCAACCCATCAGCATTTATCCATCTTCAACTTCCCATAATCCAAAACAATTTTAAAAGCTACCACTTGGACAACGTGGGTTTCCTGATAAATCCTAACCTGTCTTTCTCCTAGTTGGACCCCCCCATATAATTTTTTTATCAGAAAACTTTACTTTTATTACTATATTCTTTGTAACTGCAGGTTTATGCATTTGCTTTTGGTTTATTGTGTCTTCTTGCTAGAATTTAAAATCCCTGGAGTCAGGGGATTTGTTAGTCATTTAAAGCTGCACCTCCATTTAAAGCTACTATCTCCACAGTGGTGTTCCTGAAATATTTGTTGATTAAATTAGTAAGTGATGGGGTGGGTGGACAATTAGATAAAAAATGACCACCTGCGCAGTGGGATGAGCAGTGACTGAACAGATAAAGAACAGATGGCCCAGGAAAATGAGGGCATGAGTGCACAGATAGGTGGGGAGTGGATAAAGGACTCAAAGGATGGGTGAACCTAAGAATCAGAATCAGGAGCCACTAGGCTCTGGGCAGCACAAGCAGCGGGGAAGGCAGGCCCTGCCACTTACTTGAGCGTCTCCAGTGCCTTCAGCTGAGGGAAGGTGGCTGAGAGCTGCGAGACACCCGTGTCCCCAATCTTGTTGTCGCTCAGAGAGTCCAGGCTGCAAGTGGAATCAGATGGGGGCCATCAGCAGGTGTCTCCTTCCCCCTTCTGTCCCCCCAGCCCTGAATGTGGCATAGAGGCACAATGAGCAGACATCCATCCTGAGCTGTGAGAGGCAGCCTTTAGCATCCAGGCCGGCCAGGTGACAAAGTGGGACCTCCCATGGATCAGAATCTGTTTTGCTTCTGAAGACCCTCTGAATTTGAATGACCCCTTTCAGCTCTTGGAAGCTTAGTTACAAGGTGGGATTTGCCCTCGTGGCCTTTCCAGCAGGGTTGCTAAGATCAGCAAGTCAGGTGAGGCAAGACCGAGACCGTGCAGAGAAATTGTTTCAAAGGTCAGGAAGGATCCTACACCACCCTTACTCCTGGGGATTCCCATCTACTGTCCCTTCCCTGCAGCAGGCTCATCTCATCACTCACATGAGTTATGCTGAGAAAGTCAGTGACTCGTGAGACACAGGCACAAGGAGAAGGTCTCCCCTTTGCAGGTCCCCTGGGCATGGGACAGGACAGGCTCTGAGACTGTCAGGGCCACAGTGGAGGGGAGGTCACAGGGACATACTTACTCCAAGTGCTGGAGAGAAGAAAAGGCTGGAAGGATCTTTGCTAGTTTGGGGAAAGCTTGGGGGCCCAATGTGGGGCCCAACCTAGAGAAAAAAGGAAGGATCAGATGTCAGAACAGCCTCCTCTCAGTCCCAGGAAGACACAGCATGCAGAAGCCAGGCCTCCTCCTCCCTCAAGCCCCCCTAGCTGGCTCTCTAAGCCTTCTGCCTGGGCTAGATCTCACAAAGCCCCCAGGAGGCCAGGTGAGTTCCTGGCTTTTATCTCTGAGCAGGGAGCCCATTCCCACTCCTGCTGTGGTCATCTGAATACACTCACCCTCCTCCCACCATGGCCTGGAGATGGGGACCCCAAACACTAGCCAAGGATCACCACCAGCAGGACACCACGTGGCTTACTTGTCTTTGCATCTCAATACCAAAAAGAACCTTTTTTAAAAAAAAAAAACAAAACTGTGATTATATACCAGGCCCATATTGGGTCCTTCAGTCAGCTTAGATCATATTTAATCTTTATCACTCTGAGCTAAGGACTCCTCTGCCACATTTTACAGATGGGAAAGCTGAGACACAGAGAAGTTAGGTAACTCACTCAAGTTCACACAGCCTGCATTGACATTTATACTACAGAGACTTCATGAGAATGAAAAGAATAAGGATAATGAAGACTGCGTTGTTTTGTTTTTAAGAAGTCATTACATGTATTTGATGTAAAGAATTGTCTTTTAGACTGAAACTACATCTTTTGAACTTTGTTGATATTTAAAATGATCACCTCTGATAAAATTATGCCACCAATAATGATTATTTGGTGGATATTGTTTACATGAACATACGTGATGAAAATTAAAGGCTGGTACCTATATGTGGTTGCTGATAACCATTCTGAAAGGATCTCCTCTTGGAAATTCCAAGCTCTGAGATCCATGATCCTCAGGACAGGGCCCCAGGGCGAGGACTGGGTGTTGGGATCTGCACTCACTCAGCCCCATGCCGGGGTCTTGGCAAATCTCTTTATCACTGAGTCTCCCACAGTACTCAGCCCTGATCTTAGGGGGTGGCTGGGAGGATTGAGGGGTCCATCATCCAATATTTACTGCTTGTCTACTTTTTCTCAGGACCAAGGAAAAGCCATGAGCAAACCAGATGAAATCCTCTGCCTCAGGCAAGCTGACATTCCAGGAGGTCAGCATGAGATCTAGAATGAGCGATAATAATTGATAAAGACAGACACAGTGGTGAGGGCTGGAATGTTATTTTTAAATATGAGGGTGTGAAAGGGCCTCCTCCTCCCCTGCAATAGAACAATCAGAAGAGATCAGACTGAAACCAGGCTGTGGGCTGCGCGGGACTCTGAGGAGCAGCGTTCCAGGAAGGGGCACCGGTGGGGCAGAGCCCGAGGCTGGGTCTTGCCCACTGAGGCTGAAAACCCACAGGAAGGTGCACGTGGCAGAGAGGAGGGAGCCAGAGAGGCCCAGGCGGTAATGGGGCTGGGCGGCAGCTGGTGGCACCAGGAAACGCGCCTGGTACTTGCACAGTGTCAGGGTTTTGAGCAGCCTGACATGACGGAAAAGGAGGCAGCCAGGTACCCAGCACAGTGGCAGCAAAGTGGATACCCAAAATAGACCGTCCTTCCTTCCTTCCTTCCTTCCTTCCTCTGAACCTTCTTGGGTCTTCCGGCCTCCAGGTGGCCGTGCCCCGAGACTAAGCTGTTCCACCCCATGGCTGCTGTTCCCCAGAGCGCAGTTCCCACCCCGAACTAGGGGCTTTTTAAACTGAAAAAAAGTCATGCCAGAGAAGGCTTGTGATGATTGTCTTTAGACATTTCCTCTTTTGAACAATATTTTTACCTCTGTACAAATTTGGCACCTCGTCTTTTGTTCAAAACAAGAGGTGTCTGGCTTTTTCTAGGGCCAGGGGCAATGCTCAGGGGAGCTGACAGCTCCCAGGGTGTCACAAACCTTGTTGGTTAAGTCACTTAACCTCACTAGGCCTCAGTTTACTCATCTGTCAGATGGGAAGAGTGGTCATGGTCTCTTAGAGCAGCCCTTGCAATGAATGAGATTGTGTATCTGTAGAATGCACCAAATCCTCTGTCAGTGCTAAACAATTCCTTGCTAATTCTTAGATAATCTTAGATCCTCACCAAGGACCAAATACTGGTTTAGTTAGTTCTTTGGTTGATGCTCAGACTCAAACTGACCTGACTCTTATAACTTTAGAGAAACAACTCAAATTCCCTGGGCCTCAATGTTCCCATCTATACAATGAGGAGATGATAACAAGACTCCCAGGGGACGACCACCTGGCATAACGGGGTGAAAGTGCTTTGCCAACTGAAAGCTAGATTCTGGCAGACAGAATTAAACACAAGAATTACTTTGGCTCTGTTTCTGTCCCCGTGAAAGAATGCCCAAGATGGTGGCTCCCAAGCCTAGCTGCTACACCTAGCACGACTGACTGTCCCAGTTTGCCTGCATCCAAAGATTTTAGGACCTGGAACTTGCAGAATTAAATACAGGCTAGCCCTGCGCAAACTGGCATGTGGTTTGTTCACTCTACCTGTGTCTGCATGTTTGAGACCACCAGTGATTTTAGCAAGCAATCAGGACTAGGCACCACTACCAGGAGATGGGGCAGAAACCTGGCGTGCCATGGGTGGTGGCTAGGGCTCTGCATCCCCCAGGGAGTCCAGCTTGTGGCCATGGGAGTGAGAACACTCAGGTACACAGGGCACATGGTGGCATGTCCCATGGGAAGTTATGAGCTGGAGCACACTGAGTCCTCTTCCTGCCCCTGGCCAAGTTAGGATTCTTGCAAGTCACATGTCTCCCTTGCATGATCTACCTACTTGGCTCAATCCTAGCCTTTGGTCAAACATCAGTGCAGACATTGCCTCCCCCCAGAAGCGCTCCAGCCTCCTGAAGTGGGAAGCTTACTATGACAGCCTACCATGCACTAACAGAAGCCTCACCATTCAGGTTTAGTGAATGGCAACAAGCAAGTGGCAGATGGGTTACCTTTGAATCCCAGAAGGCAACTCCAGCACTTGCTCACCCTAGCTGGAAGCTGGTTTCCAAAGTGGTGGATGCCAGGGAAAGAGCTGTTCTAGGGACTGTTCTAGGGATTTGGGGCTGCTGGCCCAAGATCAGTGGATGCTGGAAAGGAAACTGGGACTCCCAAAGAGTCTGCCCCATCACTTACGCAAACTCCAGCTTTTTCAGATCTCGGACAGCAGGGAGCTCACGAACTGTGTCTTCAGAGGAACTTCTTAACCTAGAGAGAGCAGGCCATGGTAAGGGAATAGGCCCTATAGTCCCTGGGACCCTGCTCATGTGCCCATTGATGCCTATCCCAATGCCCTGTATTCCCTGGGGCTGGGGATGTCACTTTATGATAGAGCACTTGTGTAGCACATGCAAGACCTTGGATTCTATTGCCAGAACTGGAAAAAAAGAAGGAAAACACCAGGAGTGCATGTTTCATGGAAAACAGGCTCAGAGTTAGGCCCCCAGCCCACACGGCACACTGCAGGTGCTCAAGGGAGAGTGAGACAGCTAACTTGCTGTGTGGCCAGGCTGCCTCTGCTCTCTGTACCCCTTTCTGCCATCTCTGAGATGGGGATGGCACTGGTCCTGGGTGCCTCAGAGGGTGGCTGGAGGGCCAGATTTGTCCCTAGATGGTGAAGGCATCCTTGTTAACTGCTCACAGAAAAGTTTCTCCTTGGCTTTGCGTGAGAAAGAGTTGGGTATGTGATAGCCCATTTTGAATGGAGCAGTGTCACATTGTGGGGACCAGCCAGGGGCAACTGTGGTGAGAGCTCTGGGCAGCCATGGCATCAAAAAGGAGTGGAGGCACTGAAAAGTCCTTGACAAACTTGATAACAGATCCTCCAGGCCCTCAGCCTGCAAAGCCTACATGACCTTCCATCCCGTCTCCCTCTCACCTCTGGGTCTGCACAAGGTGGCCCAGGTCTTCCACATCCTTTAGGGACTTGGCCTTAAATGGCTCAATGGTGAACTTGTCCTCTGCTGCCTGGAGTAGCTGGGTCTCCCCACGCTGCTGCAGGGACTCCCAGAGCCCCACGGTGTCACTCAAGGCCGCCCTGTGGAGGAAGGGTCTCAGACCCAGGTACAGTGACTGGGCAGGACCAGGAGGGAGGGGCAGCTCCATGAAGCAATCTCTTTCCTGCTCAGCTGCTTTCCATCTTTAGCTTGGTCTCCACCTCCTGCAGAAAGCTGTCTGTGGCCACTGCAGCCTTTCCCAATTCCTCTCTTTTTGAAACTCTCACTCTGGTTTTGTTTCTCTTTTTGGTTTTGGCTACCAGGAAGCTCAGTGCTGAGTTCTGGGCACAACTGTGTCAGACCTTACAGCTTAGGTAAAATGTTTAGGGGAAATATGAGAGATTAAAGGACTAAAGCCAATGTAGAAGGACTTAAATGAGCCAAATGAAGGAGGTTAGGCTTCTTTCTGAGGTCAGTTGTGTGCTCTGGAGTGTGAGTAGAGTGAGTTAGTAGAGGTGTGATGCAAAAGAATTTGAGTTCCAGGAAGACTGTTCTGGGGGCTGAATACAAAGTCGGGTAGAAAAGGAGAGAAGGGAGGTAGAGAGGTCAGTGGGAGGCTGTGACTCTTAAGCATAAGAAAACAGATCCTGGATCCAGGGATGGAAGAGAGAAAACAAACGTGAGATGTGGACCCAGGGTGGATCTTCAAATATTCATTGGAAGGAAAAAAACTGCCGTTTGCTGACTGCACGGCTTTGGGTAAGCAGTTGCCCTTCTTGAGCCTCAGCGTGGGAGGAATCCATTCACCTGCTTGCTGCTGTTTCTGTTAAGTGAGATGCACAGAGCAACCCTCCATGCCAGCGGAAGGAGCCCTTCCCATACCCGGGGCCCACCTGAAACGGGTGACGCAGCTGAGTCCCACAAGGTTCCCCAGGCCAGAGGGGTCGATGCCCGTGCCACGGAGGTCCAGGGAGAAGTCTCGGCCAGCTGCCTGCAAGGCCTGGCCCAGCACATGGGCGTCAGGTGGCGTGAGCCGTGTGCCCAGGAAGGAGAGGCACGCAGGCAGCTCTCGCACCACGTGCATCCAGATCCCAGCCTCACTGGCCTCGTGGGCACAGTGCAGCAGCTCCAGCAGCCGCCCAGCCTGCAGCGTTCTGGGTTGCAGGCGCTTCAGGTATCTGGTGAGCACCTTTTGCTTCTTGTCTGCCGAGGCAGCTGCTGCAGACCCAACCAGCGCTCCCAAGCAGCGGGCCCGAGGCTGGAAAATCAGTCCAGCCAGAAAGCGTGGCACACCTTCCATCCAGTTGTCATAGGGCCTCTTTTTCCTCGGGGTCAGTGCTAAAAACTGCGGCAGCTCCTTGTCCTTGATTTCGCTGCTCAGAGCCAGCCATAGGGCCCCCAGGAAGCACTGCAGGAGGAAGCTGGAGAAGGCCAGCTCAGCCTCAGCAGCCCCTGGGACCTGTTGCACTACAGGTTGCACAAGGCTTTTAGTCACAGCCCAGGTCCTTATCTGTTCTGTGGGGAACTGATCCTCCCGAAGGGTACTTTGGTGTCTGCGGCCCAGCTCCCAGGCCAACTTGGCCAGCCCTACCAGGGCCCCTGGAGGGCTGTCCCGGGCTGCCCGGTCTAGCAGGCCAACATAGAGTCCTGTGAGTGTGGAGGGAAGCTTGGCCTCCTCCCCTCGCTGCAGCAAGGTCTCCAAGAGCTGGCACACTGCCCGGCACAGAGTGGGGCTGTGGCTATGACTGAGGAGAAATGGCTGGTCCTGAAGGAGCATTAGAGCTTGCTCTCTGTGCTCTGAGCCCTTGAAGTAGCACGTTACATATGTCTGTGCCTGTTCAGTAGAGAAACCAGTCACCTCAAACAGAGCATCAGCTTTGCCCAGGACCTGGGCCAGGCGGCCACGGGGCTGGGCCATGAGGAGCAGGGTACAGCCTTGCATCAGCCTGCGCTGCAGGAGCCCTGCCAGCAGCGCCCGGAAGGAGCAGGGCTCTGTGCACGTGGGCCCGCCAGCACCATGCAGGAAGCTGTCCTGAGCTTCCAGTTCCTCAAAGGCATCCAGGATGAGCAGGATGCGCTCAGGCCTCCTGGAGATGTGGCTGAAGACTTCCTCATCCATGGCCAGTGGCTGAGGGCCTGGGGAGCAGAGCAGATCCTTTAGGCAGTAGGTATCCCCTGGGTAGTCCAAGCGGTAGCAGGGCACATAGAAGACAAAGTCATACTGAGGAAGCTGGCCACGGGCCCAGGCCCGGCCCACTGCCTGTGCCCAGTGGCTCTTCCCGTGCCCCGCCTTGCCCAGCATGGCAATCACTTGGGTCTCTCGCAGTCGTCGCCGGTTGCTTGCAGCCAGCAGCACTTCGGCCAGACCGCCACTGACTGGTTGTCGCTCAGCCCAGTCCACGATGACCAGCTCCCTCTCCTGGCTCTTGTGGCTGCCCTTCTCTAGCCGGGCTCTCAGCAGGTCCACCTCCACCTCTGGCTCTGTGGGCTCTGCCTGGTGCCAGTCCTGCAGTGAGTGGTGGAACTGCCTCACTGCCTCTGCAAAGACAAGGCTTAGTTAGGCTGCCTCCAGGGGGGATGCAGGTGGCAGGACAGCCACCCTCGCAGGCCTGTTCCCCGTTTCCCACCACCTTCATTGACTGCCTCGTCCCTCCCCAGACACTCACGCCTCCATTCTGTCCCACACCTGTTTATTTATTCATCATTTCAATCCTTTGCCTATTGATCCCCTATGCCCACACTGTTTTTCTTGTAGCACTACAAGATTGAACTCAGGGTCCTCCCATTGAGTTTCAGTCCCAGGCCTTTTTAATTTTTATTTTGAGAGATTTTTATTTTAATTTTTATTTTAATATTTATTTTCTCACTAGTCACTAAATTGTCCGGGCTGGGCTCAAACTTATCTTCCTGCCTCCGCCTCCCAGAGTGTTGGGATTACAGGCATACATCACCAGGCTTAGCTTCATTTTATGCCTTTTCTTAATTCCTTTTTACTCACTAATCTTTGCTCACTCAGTCATACATGCAGGATGGAGGAAAAGCTGTTTAAGACTTAAAACAGTGGAACCTGGACGCTAGATTCAAATCCTGGCTGCAACATGTGGTGGAATCTTCAACATATTGCACACTCCAGTATGCCTTAATATCCTTTTCTATAAAATGAGGTTGATATTAGGGCTGTATGAGTCTTCAGTGATCTATCATAACCTCATGGTCTTCGTAAGTTAAGCACTCAGTAATTAACCAAGGCCCTTATTCATTCCTTTTTTTAAAATCTGTTTTTATTTTTTTTGAGACAGGGTCTCCCTATGTAGTTCAGGCTGGCCTTGAACGTACCTTGTACCGAGGGTGGCCTTGAACTTGCAGCAATCCTCCTGCCTCAGTCTCCTGAGTGCTGGGATGACAGGTGTGCACCACTGTAGCTGGCCTTCTTGGCTTTTATTCCCACCTTCCGCTGTTCACACCCATTGGCTTCTTCCTTCCTCCACGCTCTCTATCACCCCCTTCCCCTCCTGCATCCTCTGAGCTGTCTACACCCATGCTAGGGGTTTTGGGGGGCCAGGGCTTATTGAGGAGTGAGTCCTCAGTAGATGTCATGTGTGTGAGTGGCAGCATACATGCTGAGATGATATGAATGAATGAATGAATGAATGAGAAGATTACACACAGGGATTGAAAGCCAGACAAGGGATTTAGGTTTAATGCCCAGGACAGAGGAACCAGGCCGTCACTCACCAGGCCATTTGGAAAGCTGGATGGCATCCTCTGCAGTTGCCTGGCATGGCGGAGGGGATGTTTCATCCTCTGCAGATGGAGAAGCCAGCCAAGAGTTAGTCTGGGGACATCCCTCCTCTGGCCACCCAGTTCTTATATCCTGAGGGCAAAGCTTACACAGGATAAGTCACAAAACCGGTCTATGTAGTCTCCCAAGCCAAGGTCATAAGGAGGTGACCTGAGGCTGTATTGGTGGTGGTTTTTTGTTTTCGTTTTCTTAGCCTAGGTTTTTGCTATTCCAGGCTAGCCCTGAACTCATTAGTAGCCCAGGCTGGCCTCAAACTCAGTAATCTCCTGCTTCAGCCTCCTGAGGGCTAGGATTACAGACATGTGCCACCATGCCTGACTTGTCCTTTTCAGGTGTTTTGTTTTGCCAGGTATACTTTAAATTTTTTTCATTAGTGTTTTAAAAATCATGGTATCTATGTAAATATCAGAATTTCTAGATTTAGGAGGCCTGGCTACCAGCTCTGCTTTCTTGTCAGGAACAAGCAGCTGGATTCTGCAGCTGCCGCCTGCCCTATCTCCAGAACCTCTCTCCTGACTTGTTTACCTAATACACATGACCGTCCTGTCCTGCAGGTGGCTTTGTTCTTCCAGTCTTCACCTGTGGCATCCGTTCGGGAGGTCAGGGCTGGCTCGGGCATGCTGGGTAAGTCAGCTGCAGAGGGAGCGAAGGGGCTGGTGGAGCCAGGCCGGGTTGGGGACTTTGGGAGGCTGTGGACAGCAGGGCCACTGGCAGGCAGAGTGTGTTTGGCCTGGGGCATTTCACCTACATTGCAAGTAGAGAAGGGTGTGAGAACAGTTAGGTTTGCACCCAGAGACCCACCCAGTCCCTTGACTCCAAATCAAACTGTGGAGCTTGGCAAGTCTGTAGAGAGGAGAGAGAATGCCCAGACGTTTCAGGATGAAGCAGAGCACAGCACTCTGGAGCTCGGAGAGGTTTTCCCTCAGAGCAATGGATGCAATCAGCTCACAGGGAACTTGTCGCAGGTGCCTTCTTATCACCATGCGGTCAGTGCTCATTTTCCTGGATGTCAGCAACTTGTTGCTTCTAGGGCAGCAGTGCCTTATACAGAAATGGCACCCAGCAAAGGATGCTTGAGTGGAAGCATCCTCCTACCTCATCCCTGAGAGCCCAGATGAGCCATCTCGGGGCCTGTCTACAACATCTCAGTATGGTGGGTCAGCAGAGTCATTTTACTAACCAGAAAATAAAACAAATCAGAGAAAGCTAGGCAAGGACACACACCAAAGTATTCATATCTAAGAAATTCATATCCCAAAAATTCACACTAAGAAAGAGACACTCAGTTAACTCTTGTAAGCATCTGATATTTGGCTCATTGGTGAACATGTATTGATGTCACAATTTAAAAATAAAGTTTAAAAAAGAGGGAAAACTAAGAGTCATGTGAAAGTGACATATGAGGGGCTGCATAGCCACTGTTGGTCACATATCCAGACCATGGAGTAGTACTCTATTGCTTTGATATTTGAGAAGTGGAAGTAGAGGAAGGTGTGCTGGGGCTAGGGTTGTAGCTTAGTGACACAACACTTGTCTATCATGCCCAAAGCCCTGAGTTCCATCCCAGCACCATAAAAAGAAAAGAAGAGAAGAGAAAACCAAAAAGAAAGGGGGAAGGAAGGGAGGGAAGAAGGAAGGAGTTGTGGGGAGGGAGCATCATAAAAGGGTGCTATGCCACACTTTCCAAATGTCTTAGGTTTGGGGGGATCAGGTCAGAGTGTGTCAGGTAGGAAAGATGGGCTGTGGGGGTGGGGCAGGGTCACACACTCACCATGATAGACAAATATACTGGAGACTGCTGTGCCCAGCCCTGAGACCTGCCAGAGCCCCTGGGGCAGAGTCGGGAGTGTGGAGATGAACTGAATGGGCCCAGCAGGCAGAGTCACACAGCTCACCAAGGGTGAGGAGAGGTCCGCTGCAAGAGGCAAAGCAGAGGGGTGGGCTCTTCATAACCCCCATCTCTGTGATTCTGTTTTGTGACGATGGAGTTAACATCTGGGGCCTACACAGGACTCTTAATTTCCCAAGGGCAGCAGCCCATGGTGGTGTCCCCAACACCTAGCACTGGTAGCTGGGAGAGATGGGGGGGGCAGTATTCCAGGAAGAGGTGATGACAGACAGCCAGTGTGTGAGCTCTCCCGCTGGCAGTGATTTTCTCCTGGCCTTCCAGGGTGGGGATTCCCTCCCAGATATGTTCTCCTCCAGGGACTGGGTGGGTTGGGACCCTGAGGATAAAACTAACTTAGGACTGAGGAGACACTGAGGATTTGTGTGTGTTCCTGGGAGTCTCTGCCTAGCAGCAGCTCCCAGGAGGGAAGAAGCCCGCCCTCTCAGGCCTCTGCACCTACCAGGCACCTGCACAGTTTCCTCTAGCTGGATCTGGCCTGAGTCTGGCACCTGGTTGAGTAGAGCATGTGGTGGCTGGCAGGACAGCGGGGAAGAGTCACTGGCTGGTCCCACCAAGAAGCTGCCGGTAACTATGGGCCCAGAAAAGGGCTCTGCTGTTGAGGAGAGGGTTGTGTGAGAGACTGAGAGGGCCTTCTAGGATGGGGAGGGCTCCTGGCACTTACAGGAAACACCTGTCCCCTGCTCAGTGCCATCTGCAGTGGTGCTGATGGGCAACAGTTTGTGCAGGCCACACCAGCTGCTCTTGGTAACCAGACCCAGAGCATCCCAGAGTACAACTCTTGAGGTCCTGCCAGACAGCAGTGGGCTCTGCCCAAAGAAGGGCAGGGGCTGCAGTGGATGCCCATCCTGTCAGATGAGGAGGTTGCCAATGTCCTCCGGGATCGGAAGGACGTGCCTCTGTCATCAGATTGGAAGCTTCCTGAGGACCAGGCCAGGTCTTCACAGGTGGAGCTCCTGCCTCTGCCATAATACTGAATTCACAGGTGCCTACTGGTCTCAGAGGGGAGCCCTTTCCCAAGATAGGTGGATCCCCGAGGACAGAGACCACTTCTCTACCATCTCGGGTCCTCATGGGCAGTATTCCTGTCTCTGCCATCAAAGGAGCACTTTCTGAGGCTAACGATGAAGCTCCCTTCCCCAGACTAGAAGCCCTTTTGTTCTTTGGTCTGTTCTCCACTCCATTCTGGCCCCTCCTTTTCCATAACAACTGGGCTAGGGAGAAGGAACCCCTGGTGGAAGATGGTGAGCTTGGGTGAGGTGGGGTGGATTTCAGCTCTGTATTGAAGGAGTTAAGAAGCAGCCTGGTAAGGGAGAGTTAGTGGGAGAAACCAAGTCTCCTAGTATCCCTCACATATGCCCCTCACGCTAGCTGTGTAACCTCAGACAGGTGACTTTACCTCTCTGAGCTTCAACTTTCAAGGCTGGTTTACATGGGCACCTGTGGAGGCCCAGCTCCCCACCTTGTCGTCTCCCAGTCCCACCTGCCCTGCTCACCTAGTTTCCTGTGCTTCAGGTCTGTGGGATGCTCCTCTGGGAAGGCTGCAGAGAAAACACTGTGGTCAGTGGCCCCAGGCGAGGATGCCCCAGCACAGAGTGGAAGCGGTGGAGGATGTCACCAGCCACATGCCTCACCTTAGGAGCCGGGAAGGGCCTTGGAGGACCCAATCCCTTGCCTTCTTCTAACTGTGCTGGCCATAGCTCCTCCTCAGATTGAGCTCAAAAGACAACAACCGCAAACTGGCTCTGGAATCCATCCCCAGCGTGGGCCTGTGTGACACAGCCCTCCACCCTCCTCTGTGGATCAATCAGGGTAGAAGCTCCCCTGACTTGTACTCCCCAAATTTGTGTTTCCAAAGCAGTGGGAGTACACTGGGAATCAGTGAGCACTTTGTACATCGAGGATGAGAACCCTGAGTCCCTCAGCAAGGGATCAACTGGGATCAGCTGTCCAGTGGCACAGCAGGCAGCCCTGAAAGAGGACAGGATGCTGAGGTGCATCAGGGAAGTGTGCGGGCTCTGCAGTGTACTTCGCCATGTACCAGAAGTCACATGGTGGATGTGGATGGATAGTGGAGGGGGCGGACAGGTGATGAGGCAGCATGGCCAGGGGTTCTGAAGAACCCAACAGTGGGAATCTAGGCCTCTATGGTGTGATCTTACTACCTTATTGCATGTTGAAATTTTCATAATAAAATGTTGGGGAGAATATTTATTGGATGAAAATGGAAAGGAAGAAAGAGGAAAGAAGGGAAGGAAAAGACAGAAGAGAAAGGAAATCAAGCAAGAAGAAAAGGAAGGGAGAGGAGGGGGAAGAGGAAGAGAAAGTAAGGAAGGGAAAGGAGAGGAAGGGAAAAGATAGGACAGGAAGGGAAGGGAAGGGAAGGGAAGGGGAGGGGAGGGGAGGGGAGGGGAGGGAAGGGAAGGGAAGGGGAGGGGAGGGGAGGGGAGGGAAGGGAAGGTGGCAAACGGGGAAGAACCAGATCTACAGGCCTCGTAGGAAGCACTGCGTAGCAAGGCCTGGTCTGCCTTTAAAGGCTCTTGTCAGCTGCCATGTGAGGACAGACCAAAGAGGCAAAGAGACACAGTAGAAGGCTCAGAGAGGTGCAGGTACCTGGCCAAGGTCACACAGACCATACACAACAGATCCAAGATTCTAACCCAGTTCTTGCTGAGGCTAAGACCTGTGCTTGAAGAGGCCTCCCTGGAAAACCTCAGTGACCATGCAGGGCAGAAGAGAACAAAGGATCATTTCAGAAATAATTATCAGCGGGCGCAGAACCTCACTGGGAGAATGGCCATGTGCTCCTGGGCCGCCTGTTTCTTTCCTGGGTCAGCAGTGAGCAGTGGTGATGGTGGTGAAGCAGGGCCCCAAGGTCAGGTGAGGCAGGCAGGACTTAACAAGGGAAGCAGCTGGGAGCCACAGCAGACTCTGGAGCCAAGAAAGGGCCAGGCCTCCGGCCAGGCCAGATGGGTCGGGGCGGGGTTACTCACATCTTTTCTGACTTCTCTGCCCTGCTTCCTCCAGCACCTCCACACTCTCACTGTTCACTTCTTCCAGGCCTATGTGCTCTACTTTGGAGAAAGATCAGAGACAACTCACAATCAGTGGTGAGCCCAGGCAAGCCCAAGTTGTTCCTAGAGGGAGGGGTGGTCACCAGAGACGATGATGCTCCCCAATGACAAGAAAGGGATGCAGGCTGAGCCCTGCCAACCCCGACTTACTGAAAATGTCCTTGCTAGGGTCCTCCAACTGGGCGTCTTGGAACACATACTGGTCCAGTTCCGCTGAGCAATCAAGGAAAATCACAATCAGCAAGAGCTTGTTGAAGACCCACTGTGTGTTCAGTCTTAGGCTGGGCCTGGTACACAGTAGGAGTTCAACAGCATTGCTGACTGTTATAAATGAGCAAATGAATACATGAACACTGATCCTTAATGAGCTTTTAGTATGAAATTAATGGAAGGGGTGAGGGATGTGTCCATGAATATCTCCTGAACCCTCAAGTAGTACAGGGAGAGTAGTACAGTGGGCAAGGGTTTGAGTTCAGGTTCTACTTCTAGTCTCTAATCCTAACCGGACAGCCTTGGATCAGTTACCCAATCCCTCTGTTTGCATTAGGCAAGCAAATAAAGCCTGCTACTCAGGGAAGCACGACAGTGATTTAAAGCGTTCAGTGCAGTGGTCAATTCTATGAAAGGACATGTGACTCAGAGCCAGTGGGAAAAGAGCCCTCATGGTGGCAAGTCAGAGGAAAGAGTGTAGAACGGGTGGTGCCATAAAGGGCCTCCCAGAGGAAGGGACCTGGAGCCAGGCCTTTTTAGAAGGGGCACCATATGCAGGGAAGAGTGGATGGCTTTCTGGGTGGGGGGGACAGTGAGGAAAGTTGTTCAGGACATGAGGGATCAGTGCAGCACAGAAGTTTCACGACAGGGAAAGCTAGGACTTGGTTTTATGAAAAGCAGCGGGGAGCCATGGAAGACACGTGAGCTGAGTGATGGTGGTGGCATTGACGGTGGTGGTGGCAGTGATGGGCTGCAGGATGGTTCCCAACACCTACGGAGGGTTTGCTCTGTGTGAATTCCTTTGCTAAGTGCTCCACCCATAATCCTCACAACACCTAGAGATGACTAAAGCTTCAACCTGCACTGTGCAAATAGAAGCTGACAAGTAATGTATCAGGGTGCCACAATGACAGGTCACCAGATGAGGGCCTAGCCTTCTAGAAGCGTGGGGGAAACCCAGGGACTTGAGGAACAGTTTGGGGAAGGTTTTCACACAGTAGCTCAGCACCTTCCACTTCCTCTAGAGATGCTCTGGAAGAGAAAAAAAGAAGAAGAAAAGGGCCTACAGATCCTAAGCAATGCTTTGGATCCTTAGTTACTGCCTCCGGTTGTGAGGAAATGAGGGTGCTCTAAATATTTTAGATTCCCAGCAAGGGAAGGAACCAGACAGCCTCTCGGTTCTGTAATATCTGAGGCACACAGTTACTGCTCCTCTCCATTTCTGCCATTGAGGATTGTTGGATTAACTCTACTGGGGGAAAAACTGACCACATTCAAGCCAAGCACAGATCTTCTAAGTGTATCCTAAGTTGTCAGGAAAAGGGCCATTATGAACAATTGTGCAAGCTGTTCAGCCCACAAAGGGTACGCTGTCCCTGGGTAAGTAGGGACAGAAATAAAAACTGTGCTTTGGTGGCCAAGCTGTTACTTCCTGTTAGAGACTGCATCATCTAAAAGCAGGTGCACCTTTTTTCTAATTCAGCAAAGTCCCTTAAGAGATAGTGGTAACCCCGGTGGAGAGGGATCCCCGTCCCCCTCTCCTCTAAAGTAGACAGCAGCAGCTTCAGCAACACCAACCACACCTCTCCTCAAAGAATTCCGCCATTCTCTGAAATCCATACCTCTTTTTAAAACTGCACACAAAACCTTAACAAATCTCTCAACCTTAGCCACTTTTTATGTGGACCTTGGGCCTGGTGACATAGCTTGGTAATAGAGCACTTGCCTAGCATACACAAGGCTCTGGGTTCAATACCTAGAACTAAAAAAAAGGGGGGGGGACTTTAAAATGAGGAAGAGCTGGGTTAGACTTTCAGACCTGCCCCTTACCATCTCTAATGATTCACCTCTCTAAACCTCAGTTTCCTCATCTGTAAGCAGCAGATTTGAATGATATGGATGTCCTTTGTTGTTTAAAGCAGTCAGTACAATAACGCATTGCAGCAATTAATGTCCTAGGAGCACTTAGTAAATGGTAGGTATTTTGAATACCAGACCAGTTTGTTTTAGTAGCTGAGGAAGAAGAGAAGAGGAATGTGTGATGTGGGCTTTGTAGGAAGGAAAGAAAGAAGAGCTAAGGGCAGAAAAATGTGTAGAGATGGAGGCAGAGGGACTAAAGGGAGATTGCCAGCGATCATTAGTGAAGGATCTGTCTTCCTGATCAGTTTTGTCTGGAAGCTCCATTCTTCTGGCTGTCCTCACATCCCCCTTGTGGTGATTTCTGCAGGACGGGCCTGCTCTGGATCATGGCAAATGGGTGAGACTTTAAAAGGAGAGGAAAGAGCCCTTCCCCTGGGTTGTTCTAGTCCCAGGCCCAGAATGTGCCCTCACCAATGTTGGGGTACGTATCTCCAGTCTCTTCTTCCCTTTCCATGTCGTATAGCAGCCTGCTGAACTGGTCACAGTTGATGGTGTCCATGTCAGGCTCTGGAGGAAACGTTCCTTGTATGAAGCTGGGGAGATCTGGGAAGAGGGCTGGTGGGAAGGAGGGAGAGGCAAGCCGGGGCTGGGAGACACCCTGGCTCGGAGGGCATCTCCACGCAGACACGAGAGCTGTTCGTGGTGCTGACCAGTTTGGAGGCCGGCGTTTGCCCTTGGTGCTGTCTGCAGCCCTCTGCAGGTGGGGAGGGGTGGGAGAGGCCAGAGGGAGGAGTGCTCACCTGAGTAGAGCTCAATCTCTTGCTCTCCTGCCAAGTCCATCTGGTCATATAAGTGGTAGTGGTGCAAGGGATCGACGTCACTGTTAAGAAGCTCCAAGTACCCACCTTCCAGAGGCCCCAGCTCCATAGTGGCACACTGTCCACTGCCTGAAAGGGGAGTCATACTTAGGTGTCTTCCCTTGGGATGCTGGGAAGTGCAGGGAAATAACACTGGTAGCAGCTCCTGGCCTTGAGTACTGGGGTTGGGGTTGGGTTTGGGGCCAAAGGAAGAGAGCAAAGGTGCTTCTTCAGCACTTCTGATGTGCTCAGGGCGGTAGGAAGAGGAGCCTGACCTTGAATCTTGGCTGTGAGGCCTTAAGCAAGTCACTCTCCCTCTATGAATATCAGTATTTTCACCATTAGTTCTGGAGAATGAAGTCTGGGCCTTACCTAAAGGGCAAGGGCGGCTGTGTGTGGTGTGCCAGCCTCACGGAGGTACACAATCAAAGGAAGTTTGTTATGTCATAGGGCATCAGAGCTGAGACCTTGGGTTCCCAAGCCAGATATCTCCACAATTTATAGTTTCCTTCCACCCATGACAAGATTTACTCACATCTTGTCCTGGAACTTACCCATGTCTCCCAGAGCCAAACATCCTGCTTCTATTCATGCTTGGGAAATGTTTCAAGGGGACCTCAACTGGACTCTTTCAACATCCATAGCTCCAGACAGAGCTGGTGCAGAGATGACCCTGATCACTCCACTCCAGCTGCCCTATCGCAGGCTGACAGCACAAGCCAAGGCCCTTCAAGGGTAGAGACCAGTCCATTTGGCTCACTGGTCCCTAGTCTCTGGTGCATTCCTGTATACCACAGAATCTTTCCACCCATAGAAATGACAGATAACAACAACAACAACAAAAAACCCCTCCCCTCCCTCCTCCCTCTAAAAAAAAAAAAAGAAATGACACATAACCAGAATTCACAGATACTCATTGAGTTTAGGTACCAATGACATGATGGTTTGGTCTAACTCACACAAAGCTCTCTGCATTCCTATTTCTCAGGTGAAGAAACAGGCTCAGAGAGACAGGAGTTGGGTTGGGACTGGAACCAGCTATCTAGTTCCAGAGCTCCAACTTCTTCTGCCTTTTTGACTAATTCAAACCAGCCTCGAGGTGCCCTTGCCCAACGAGAGAGGGTGTGGGTAGCACGACAATTTCCTCTTTTGTGGAGCTGTCTGGCATACTGCAGGGGAGTGGTCCCTGACTTTCTGCGAACTGTGCAGTATTTTTAGAAGGTCCTCTTTGAAACCACCCTTCTCCTTGGGTCACCACCTTCCACATCCAACTTGAGAAAACATTCCTAACCAAAAATCTTTGGGGGAGTTCACTTCTATTTCCACTACACATTACACCACAGGTTTTGAAAGACTATTACTAACTTGGTTTCTCCAACACAAATTCATCTCCATCTCCTTGAGGAAAATCAGATGTTGTAACTTAGACCCAAGCAACTCGATCCATTCACACAGTTCTTCTGTGTACCAACGCAACATCCTGTCTTCTCGGACAGGGTTTGGGACTGAGCTGGGGATGGTGGTGTCTCTATTTACTACTTTGTTTCAATTGTCCCAACAATGCTGAGAGACTTGTATTATTTTACCCATTTCGCAGAGGATGGTCTGGAGTTAGGCCTGGTTGACCAGATAGCTTCTTCATGGAATATGGGAGTTATATGTCTTTGGTCCAAGACGGAAATGTGAAAGTAAAGGGGATCTTTGCTACCCCCCAAATCTTCCAGCCCTGCTCTCACTGAGAAGTGCTTCTTCACTTGTCAACTACAAACTTCTGACAAATTAATGGAAAAGCTCTGAACTTCATGTCCAGAGACATGTCTGGGTCCCAGCTCTGCCTGTAACTCCAGGCACATTTCTTTGCCCCTCTGAGCCTCACTTTCACCAACTGGGTGAAAAGCCCAGTCAGTTAAGTAATTTGGGGGTTCTGACCCCTCACTGCTTTCAGTCTCCCCCTTTTTCTTCCCCTCGAACCTCCCTCCCAATACCACTCTGCTCCTCAACTCAATGACAAGATGCTTCTAGATGCCAAATGGGAATGGGGACCCAGAGGCCCAGGGATGCCTATCTACCATGACAACCTCTAAACTACACAGATTACATAAGTTCTCTTTTTCGTCTTGTACCCTGTGGTCTTCCAGGTAAACTCTAAGCAATGCCTTTGAGTGTCTCCTGCAAGCCTGCGCTTTTCTGATTATTTCCTGAGTATTTCCCATAGGGAAGTCAGTCCCCCAGGTTCCAAAGAGGCTCAAAGCACAGGCCCTGTCAAGAACACACAATGTAGGCTCAAGTGGTATTTTCAGGAGAGAGATGAAACATGCTAGTAATAGGTTGATGGTTAACAGTGTGGACTCTGAGTTCAAATGTCCATCCCACACTATGTGAACTCATGGAAGTCATTCAGCTACAGAACTGTACATAGGACCTGCTGTGTTTGGTTGGCATCCTAGCTGCCCCACTGGGTTGCCATGATGTCCTCAAGTGGTATATCCAGTGATTGGCACTAACACATAGCCCCCCAAATCAAGACAACAAGGGCAACACTTGACACTGTTCAACTGGCAAAACCCAGAAAGCTAGAAAGTGAAAAGCACTGGTCAAGGATGGCAAAAATACAATTTGGCAAAACCAGTCTGAGAAATAATCTGGCATCACCAAAAATACCTTACAAAGCCAGGCATGGTGGTGTATGCCTGTATTCCCAGCATCTGTGAAGCTGAGGCAGGAAGATTATTATGAATTTAAGTCTAAGACAAGTCGAAAAGCATAGCAAGATCTTGTTTCAAAAAGCCACAAAACAGAAGAAAACTGAGAAAGAGCTGTGTGCAGTGGCACATGCTCGTAATTCCAGCTACTCATGAAGATGAAAGAGGAGGATCCCAAGTTTGAGCCCTGCCTGTGCAACTTAGTGAGACCTTGTTTCAAAATAAAAAAGGGCTGGGTATGTAGTTTGGTGTGAATGACCTGGGTTTTAATTCTCAGTATCACCAAACAAAACCAAATAACACAAAACACATGTGTAAGGCTGCACAGACCCTCTGAGCCGGCAATTCAGCTCTTGGCTATGCACATCCCGAAGAGATGGCCTCACAGCTCCACCCAGGACCCTTCTGAAGAAGCTTACTGCTGTGCTGATTGTGGTGACAGCGAGCTGGAGGTCGCATTCGTATCCTTCACTGAGGAGCAGGGGGATGAAAAGCAGCTGCTGCATTCTGTGTAGAACAGGGCAATGACCGGAAGCAGAGACCAAGCCCAATCTTAACATCACGCAGATTGGAAAGGAAATAAACAGGATAAGCTCTGGTAGCCCTGTTCCAGATGCGCCCAGTCACAGCTGCACACAGAAAGGTGACACACATATTACAGGAGCACACACAAACAAAGTTATGCCTTACGTGCATCAGGATAAGTGTCCAGAGAGGGAGGCAAGCGGAGAAGGGAAGGGAAAATCAATGAAAACAAGCCCATTCTGTGAATCCAAGATTGCAGTGTACTATGAACTGAGATATGCAATGAACTTAAGATTTAAAGTCTCCTGAAAGTTGAAAGAAAAAGCAAAGAGGGCCTCATGGAGTGAAGTAGATACCACTGTGGGTCACTAGCAGGGCCTGGCTCCTGCAGATATTAAAGAAGGATACATCTCCAGTTGTAGTGACACTCTTCTGTGGTCCCAGCTATTTAGGAGGCTGAGGTAGGAGAGTCACTTTAGCCCAGAAGTTCAAGACCGGTCTGGACAATACAGCAAGACCTGCTCTCAAGATAAAATTTATAAAGGGCTAAGGATATTGCTTGGTGATAGAGCACTTGCCTAGCATGTGCGAAGCCCCAGGTTTAATTCCCATGACTGCAAAAACAAATCAACAACAACAACAACAAAAAAAGAGGCAATTAGGTACCTGAAAATAAATTTAAAAAAAAAAGGGAACAAGAGTGGGAGAGGGCCAGAAAGGAGGTACCATCTGCAGAGGAGGAGGCCCAGCTCTCCGGTCACCATGTGCCTGCCCAGTGTGGGTATCTAAGGGAAGGAGAAAGAGAGCCAGTGGAAATTGCTGTCCTCACTCACAGCTGTCACTTCCTGTGGGAGTTTGAGATGGTGATGAGACACGGAGGGAACAGGAATGGGCTTGGCAGCCAGCGGGAGGCTCTGGTCATTTCTCAAGGCAGGGAAACTGGAAGATGTGTGTATGTACTGGGGGGAAAGAGGAAGAGGGTAGGGAAAGGGAGAGAGAGAGAGACAGAGAGAGACAGAGAGACAGAGACAGAGACAGATAGAGACAGAGAGAGAGAGAGACAGAGAGACAGAGACAGAGAGACAAGCAGAGATGGGCGCGGAGGCCAGGCAAGCTTCACATGAGAAGAGGTCTGGAAACAGTCTGTTGTTTGGCTCTGGAACACCACTGTGACCTACAACTTCTCATCTGTAGCACAGGGGCTTGGCTTTAAGCATAGCCTCAAAACTGAGGGTTGAATTAAGTCCATAATTCTAGTGGTTTTGTCCTCCAAATCCTCCTCCGCCTGTGTGTGTGTGTGTGTGTGTGTGTGTGAGAGAGAGAGAGAGAGAGAGAGAGAGAGAGAGAGAGAGAGACTATCACAGTGCCTCCATATAACACTGCTGCTAGCAGCCCTGCAGTTCCCTACTGCCCTCTGCCTGGCATATTTCGCACAGCCGTGGCCGGTTGGCACCTGGGTTTGCAGTCCTTGTATGAAGGCCCCTAGGGTCTCTCTAGCTCTTATTCACTGAAAAGTGATGGTTTGGGATGGAAGAGTGACTGGGATGGAAGGCAGGGTTACCTTCCCTCTTGACTTGCCATTGGAATGAGATGCACAGGACGATGTTCTTCTATAAAGGGGCTCAAACAAGCTGCCCTGGAACCCCCAAACTCCTGGGTGTCAGAACAAGGAACCCGGAGTTGCAACTTGCAAGGTGCTTGGTGTGCTCCCAGCTCTGCTCCCAGCTCAGCCTGAAGATGTAAAAGGACACAGCTGGCTGGGAACCACGGTTGCAAAGAGCTGCTCCCAGGACACAGCGTGCCCTGCAGCTTCTGCAACCCCCACCCCACCCCGAGCTCCAGCACACCCAAGTCTTGGCACTT